TTACAAGTATTAGCATTAATTGAATAAAATGACTAATGTAATCATGTTAACAATCTATAATCAAATTGGAACCTCCTTTGTGTGTGGTTTCTAATTGACTAATAAGAGTTTATACTATATTTGTTTGACATACCATTAGTGGATCCTCTAACCTTGACATTTATTGTTATCGTTGTTAAATCTTTACGCTAATATTTCATCTCAAAGTTCTCATCTTCATCTTCTTCTTCTTCTTTTTCTTTATTATTACTATTATCATTACTACTACTACTACTATTATTATTGATGTTATTACTATTATTATTGTTGTTGTTCTTATTGTTATTGTTGTTGTATTATTGTTATTTATAATTTGTACAATTAACCTCCCTATGGTTCGACCCCGATCTTGCCAGGTTATTTATTACTTCAACACTCCTGCACTTGGGAGAAGACATCAATTTTTTAATCATGTCACTTTGCTTAAAAAAAACTAATTTTTTATTTAATTAAATTATAATAAAATAGACATAAATAAAATTAATTAAATAAAATAAGTAGTAAAAAAATGTTATGCAATGTTACACATATTAAAAATATTATTTGAACATAAATATCATGAACATGCAGCCTTTTTCAACATGTTTTGTTACACAAAAAATATAAAATGTAAATAAAAAGTTTATGAGTACATCTAATTGAATAATTCAAGAATAATTTGTGTTGATAAATGAAAAAAACATTAACAATAATTAAATATATATTTAAAAAAGTTGAGAGATAAATGTACATTAAGATATTTGATCCAATAACACAGGTCATTTATATGATCGTGCTTAATAATTATGTTTATTAAAATTAATTTTTTTATTTAATAAAATAATATTGAAAATAAAAACACATATAAAATTGATTAATTAAAATCAAAGGGAAAAATATCTTGCAATGTTGTACTTATAAAAAATACTATAAAAATAATTTTTAATTATATATAATATAAAAAAAATTACAGTTGAATTAAAATAATCTCATCAAAAATTAAATACGTGCAAAATAAAAAAACCATTATTATAAAGGCTAGATATAAAAAATAAAATAAAAATAAAAAAGAATGGATATTGATTAAGATATAATTAAAACAATATAAAAAAACATATAAAAAAAGAAAGATTTTTTTAAATGAAAAAATTACAAAAAAAGAAGAAGAAATAAGCTAGATATTGCTAAGTGAGGCCAATGCTTGGACCATAAAAGGAAGGTCTCGCGTATGGGTCTTTTTTTAAATATAATTGTGGTGGACAACTTGTCATACACCACAATATTCTTTGAGAAAAAATTATCAAACGACCTATAGTTTAGGATTCTGTAGATTCCAACCATTACGGTGACCAAAAAAACATAGAATATTGTTTTGATTCCAAAATCCATTTTCAATCTATTTTTAACCTCGATGTTTAGAAAAAGAGGATACACACACCTTTATATACCCATAAATGACCTCAAAAAACCACATAAAAACCAAAAATCAACCCGAAATAAAAAAAATATTCCCAGGCTTAGATTTGGTTTCTTATATCATTTCAAGTTTAAAAATACACAAGTGGAATTCTTTTCACCGAATGGACCCATTTGCCACTAAGATTGACCATTTTGGTAACTAAAATTGGTGAAAGCACTAATTTTTTCTCTATATTACTAGATTCGACAACTTTCCTCTCTCCTCTCTCAAACTAGAGAGTAAAAAATAACAAAAATAAGCTTTTTTACCAAATCAAATTGAAAAAATATTGAGGGACTAAATATATATAGGCTGCAGAGTTCGAGGACTAAAGTAAATATTTTGTGTGAACTTTGAAACCATCACCCATTTATGGCGTATTTTTTTATTTTGGTCCCATATCTTTTGATTTTTTTCAAAAAATTTGATTCGATTGTTCTTGAATTTGACCAAAAAAAGAATGAAATCATGCAAAAAAAATTAAGGATCAAATTGAAAAAAAAAAACAAAAATTTAAACAGTATATCTACTGTAAAATATAAAAGGGTGAACAATGTCGTGTGTGCATAATATGTTAATCCACCTGATTTAGATTGTAGGTAATAATTTATAAACAACATTAATAATTATGTTAGCAAAATTTGTTGTTGATTCCTTAGATTATTTTTTTCAGAAATGATACAGTCTGATAAAAATCTTGGGAGAATGACATAGGTTGGAAATTTTTTTAGAAAATAGCAGAGTTTAAACACGATCATATTTCTAAATATTGATTTTGTACACAACTATTATTTTCAATAGCGGTTGTTTAGTCAAATTTCAATTAAACTCAATAAAAATCAACTCAAAATTCTATAAAGATCTAATGAACAAAATATAAGATTCAAGATTAAATGTTTAAAAAAAAATGGGAGATAAGGTGATGTGGAAATAAAAATGATTAACACTGAATTAACCCTAAACAAAATCCTTAACCAATTACAATCTCATTTGATGGTCTTTCAAGTTGTGATTAAAATCATCTCGTTGAGATTCTTTTTATGCTACTAGGTGCGTTGAAAATGGAGTCCTAGTAACCCATTCTTTCTTTCTTTCTTTCTTTTTCTTCTATCTTTCTCTCTCATGCCATATCAACTTCTCTCTCAAGCCATTGGATCTTAAATTTCATCTTTTAGCCATCAGATTTTTGTAAAATTTTAGGTTGATTTTTTAAAATTTTAATTAATTTAAAAGAGATATGAGTTTTGAAACAATCGTTATTCTCAACCATTATCAAATTTATAATTTGAAAACTTTGAGGATGAAAGTGAACTTTTCATCACAAGTTTGAAACAACCACCCTTATTTGTTTTCCTTTTCACTTTAGTCCTCTATCTATGAATCTTACAATTCCTCAATAAACTTACTTTAATTGCCAATCAAATCAAACCTATAAGGGTGTAATTGAAAAAAAAATATAAAGAAAAAAATACTCTATTATGGACATCACTCATCATAAAAGAGCTTACTAGAAGGGTTCAAACTCGACTATAAAATTTTGGACAATAACATAAAAAGAAGTCATATAGGTTATTGAAGCAATGATTTGGAAAAGCAAATTGAATAAAATAAAATAAAGTGAGCATTTATCTATATTCAATAAATCAATTCTATTTAACTTGAGAATAAAATTTATTTAAAAAATAAATTTAACAAAAAATAACATATAAAAAACATGAGCTAACCCAATTAAATAAAAAAAATGATGAAACCAAGGTCATAAAAAGCATGAGAAAAAAAACATAGCACAATCTTCAAAAAAATAAAATAAAATCAAACAAATATTAGTTTAAAAAATAATAAAAAATAACCAATGCAATTATAGACAAATCTTGCGAAGTTGGGTTAATTTCCAAAGCTTGTAACCTGTGAAATCTTAAACATGAGCTTAAATAAGAAGATCAAATTCAAACTAATTAAATATTGAAGAATTAAATCAGGTAAAAAAATTCTAATTTTGAAAATTAGCAAAGCAAGAAAAAAAACAACAATCAAAAGAATGAGAATGAAATGTATTAGGAAAAAAAATTATGGAGGGTGGAAATGGAAAAAAAATGCAACTCTAAAAATTATATTATATTACAAAAATTAGCAATTAAAAAAATAAAGATCATATTTGATAAAAAAAAACTAAATGAGGATGAAATCAAAACAAAAAATATAACTCAAAGAATTATTTCAAAAAAATTATAACCAATAAAATAAGGATTAATATAAAAGATATAGAAGCTTAGCACAAACATTGAGAGAGAGAGAGAGAGAGGAAAGAAAGAAGAAAAAAATGACCGCTAATAACAAACAAAAATTCTCATTCATACACATATCACATATCTATAGAGAATAAATAAAAACAAAGATAAATCCAATTTAAAATGACTTTTTTAGTTGTTGAAACAACTTATATGAGTCATCTGAAGATAATGAAGTGGCTGACGCATGCTCAATATATGCTAATAATTGTTCTATTTCTTTTTATTTTTTAAAAGATCAAACTACCTTGTCCCATTCAACAAACAACAAAAAAACTAGTTATGAAATAACCAAAATACCCTTTGGCTCTAGTCTTAAGAAAAAAAGCCTTTGTTGTTAGTTTTTTTTTTCAAATTGCAAAAATAATTTGATAATTTCACTATATATAATAAAATAAAAGAATAAAAATACCCCTCTATGTAAAGCAAACATATTCTCTATTTTAAGAGCGTAGATGTATTTAATTATGTAAAAAAAATGAAATTTTTTATCTTATCTCCAATCAATTTAAAATGCTAAAATGGTTCTGTTACAAAGGCGATCATGTCTTGTATATTAGCTTACACTCTCTCTGTTTTTTTTTTAAGGATAAGATGATAAATTCATTATTTTTTTTAATAATACAAAATATGTTTAGGTGAATAATGAATCCACCACCCCTTTTATTTTTATTCTTAATTTTAATTAATTAACTAGCATTCACACGCCCATATATATACATATATATATATATATATATATATATATATAATTTTTTGTTTTTTTTTTCAAATTGATAATCATGATAATAATAAGATATACATATCTTCATATATATATATATATATATATATTTTGTTGAATAGAGTGTTTACTTTATATAGATTAGATATGTAAGCATGTCAATTCATTTTAGAAGCTCTTTGGAAGTTTCAAACTGTATTTTCTGAATTTTAATTTTTTTATATTTTAAATTATTTCGACATACTCATAATAAAAATAAAAAAATAATTTTTTAAATATTTTTAAAAATAAAAATGCTATCTTACATACAAACACACCCTTAAGGGACTCGCTATTTGTTTCCATCCATAGGTCATTCGTTCGCAAGGGATTCAAAATATGCGCACACACATACACGCGGTAAAATTAAAGCACCACGACCCTACCTGCGCAAATTTTTGTTCTTTTTCTTTATTTTTGCAAATAAAAAAAAGAAAAACGTAAATAATAACGAATTAAAATAAAAAGGAAAAGGAAAAGGAAAGAAAAACAAAACAAAAACGAAGCTCCTCTGGCTGGGTAGTTGGTGCCAAATCGAGCGCTTTCCCTTTCTGGCTCTCGATTCTCTCTTCAAATCCCTAATTCGATCTGTAAGTTAACTTCCATCCTTCTCCTTTATCTTAACCCGATGCGTTCAATTCAGTCTCCAAATTCCTGATTTTTTTATTATTATCATTTGATCTTAAGTTATGCTTCTCTAATTACAGAGAGATCTGCTAACTTCTGGATCTCTCTGTTTTTTTCCTTTTAGATCGTTTTAATTTTTGGATCTCGAGGTTTTCATTGCATCACAGCTCATTTAGGGAAAACTGGAGGGTTAAATTGGTCTGGAACTTTTTTGTAGATCGTTAGGGTTAGATCATCGGTTTTTTAGATGGCTACGAATCCTCCATTTAATGTGATGGAGGATCAGACGGATGAGGATTTCTTTGATAATTTAGTTGATGATGATGATTTTAGACCCACTAATTCGGATTCAGCCCCTAAGTTCACTGAGGGAAGCGATTCCGATGAGGCGAAAGCCTTTGCCAATCTCAGTATTGAGGATGCAAAAGGTGGATTCGAAGGGAAGGGTGAAATCAATTCGGGCGATGATGCTGCAGGATTGGATGATGTGAAGGCGGAAGAGAGTAATGCATTGGAGTTGGTGAATCCGCTGAGCTTGTCTGATGAGTTGGTTGAGTCTAATAATGATGGGATTGGATCTGCGGTTGTGCCTGAGGCTATAGTTAGTCAAAGTAGTGAATCCATGAAATCAGGGGTTAAGGAAGTGGGCTGGGGTTCATTTTATGCAGGTTCTGCAGAGAATGGGTTTGGTTCATCCACTGATTTCTTTAATGATTTTGGAGGCATTTCAGAGGATTTTCCTGTGAAAACAGTTGAAAGTGTTGGTAATTTAGAGAACACAGATTGTGGTGGATTGGATAATTCGGTCTGTTACCAGAAATATCAAGATGGTGGTCATGTTTATGCAGGATCGGTGGAGAATGTGAATGAGCAGGACTTGAATAGCAGTCAGCACTGGGAAAACATGTACCCTGGATGGAAGTATGACGCAAACACTGGGCAATGGTATCAAGTGGATGCTTTTGATGCTACGGCAAGCGTGCAAGGAATTGTTGATGGTGCTTTGGGGGGTGAATGGGCTTCAGCTTCTGCCTCTGATGGGAAAACAGAGGTTAAATATTTGCAGCAGACTTCACAGTCTGTGGTGGCAACTGTGGCTGAGACTAGTACAACCGAGAGTGTGTCTAGCTGGAATCAGGTTTCCCAAGGGAATAATAATGGTTACCCTGAACACATGGTTTTTGACCCACAATATCCTGGTTGGTATTACGACACAATGGTAGGGGAATGGTGCTCTCTGGAAAGTTACACATCATCAGCAAAATCAACAACTGTTAAAACTAATGGTCAGCAGAATCAAAATGGATTTGCATTTAGTGATCCATATTCGCAAAATAGTAGTAGCACATATGCTGAGTATGGGCAAGCTGGCAAGTACGGTTCACAAGGCTATAATAGCCAAGGCCAACATGGCAGCTGGGATGAGTCTTATGGCAACAATCAGCAGAATTTGAATATGTGGCAACCTCAGACTACTGCTAAGATAGATGCTGTTTCGAATTTTGGTGGAAACCTGCAATTAGATAAACCATATGGTTCAAACTTTTCCATGAACAACCACGCGGATCAGCAGAAACCTATCAATTCTCTGGGGACGGTTCCATCATATGACAAAGCAAGTCAAAGTAATGCTGAGGCTAATGAGCTTGTTGGGTTGCAAAATTTTGTACCTGGTGGGAGCTTCAGTCAGCAGTATAATCAGGGAACTGTAAAGCAGAATGAACAAGCAAACTTTTCAAATGATTACAGTTGCAGTCAGGAACAAGTAAGTGTCACCCATCAATCATTTCAGAGTAACCAGCAGTTTTCTTGTGCTCCCAACACAGGGAGATCCTCTGCTGGCCGTCCTCCACATGCATTGGTTACTTTTGGATTTGGTGGGAAGCTCATAGTAATGAAAGATGGCAGTTCTCTCAGGAACACATACTTTGGCAACCAGGTGAGGCTCTGAAATAATCTCTTTCGTAGCTCTTTTCCTTATTTTTTGCATCATATTATGAGTGTTAACCAGTCAATCTGGTAGCAAAAGTCTTTGTAATTTGTGTCAGTATTCTCACAAATTAAAAGAAACTCATTTCTTTTTCTTTAATTTTGTTGAATTCTTGTATTGCTTGTGGGCTGATAATGTGTGTTTATTTTATGTAAAGGATCATGTAGGAGGCTCAATCTCTGTAATGAATTTGATGGAGGTTTTGTCAGGGAGTAGTGATAATTCTTCGAGTGTTGGAGGGAGCACTTGCTGTTATTTTGATGCTCTCTGCCAACAGTCCTTTCCAGGTCCATTGGTGGGTGGCAATGTTGGAAATAAAGAGTTGAATAAGTGGATTGATGAGAGGATTGCACACTGTGAATTGCCTGATGTGAATCATAAAAAAGGCAAAGCATTGAGGTTGCTTCTTTCTTTGCTTAAGTTAGCTTGTCAACATTATGGAAAACTTCGATCATCTTTTGGAACTGACAATTTATTAAAGGTAAAATACAAATTTCTATTTCAATAATTTTTGTCATTTAAATCGCATTTTTTTCTGTTAAACATCTTAATTTCCACTCTTCTTGCCCCAGTTTTTTTACATTCAGGGAAGTCATTCTGAAATAGGAAATAGACATTGCTGTATTTTGCATCTCATGTTAACAAATTCTTTTCATGTGACCATTGCCAATTTATGCTCTGTCACCCATTCAGGTTTATAATAGCTAATTCTAATCCCTCTAATGAAGAAAGTTGCGTGCCTCTATTTTGTAATGTGGTGTAAATACTCGTTTACCTTTGTTGTTTGCTTTGCAATGAGTTGTTAGCAAGAAAAAAAAACATGTTGCAATAAATCTTTAGTTTGATAGGTCAGGTCAGTCTTTAGAAGTATTAGGCTATGAAATGCCTCTCCCTCTCCCTTTCCCCAACCAAAGAGCTGGAAATAAAAATTCTCTCCACTTAGAACCCCATTTTTCTTCCTCATCTTGTGTGATGTTTTTCTAAACTATGTAATGTCTCAAAAGGGAAAACTGTTTCAAGCCCATTTGGAGTTAATTGGCATTGCTTGCTTGAAAGAGAGTTGGCCGGACATGACTGAAAGGGCATGCTGCATGGGGTGTCTAATCTCTAAACTAGAAAAGAGTTGGGGATCCAGCTCGCTTATGAAAGCACATGGGCTACCTGAAGCATTTGGGCAACCTGCATGGAGTATCGCTATAATCTACTTCATTTAATTAATACTGCAACAAGTGTGTTGTGGGTTTTTTTTTGTTTCATGATGTGGTTCCTAATATTTGCTTTCTTGCTATTTGATTTTACATCATTGAGTTTCACATCATCACCTTAGACTTTATGCATGTAATGCTAGATTGAGTTCGTAATTTTACCATTGCAATCATTTCTGAAGAGCCACATTTAGAAATGACTAACCTGGCCTGGCATTTTTAATATTATTTGTATTTTTGTAGGAGAGTGATGCTCCAGAATCAGCAGTTGCAGAACTTTTTGGATCTGTCAAGAGGAATGGCACCCAATTCAGTGAGTTTGGTGCCCTTGACCACTGTTTGCAGAATGTGCCGTCTGAAGGACAAATTAGGGTATCTCATATACTACTTTGTTAATTCTTGCTACTGTATGGACACTTACCAATCTTCTTAAAGATTCTGATGTATGTTCTAGGCAACTGCTTCTGAGGTACAACATCTTCTGGTTTCTGGTAGAAAAAAAGAGGCCCTACAATGTGCACAAGAAGGCCAGTTGTGGGGACCTGCACTTGTTCTTGCATCACAGCTGGGTGATCAGGTATTTTTGTCTGTTACTGACATCTTTGATTTTTTTCTGATAATTTCACTTACAAGGAAGATTGTCAGATATTTACCCGACTCTCACTCTTTCTTTTTGTGCCTTTTTGTGGCTGGGGTGATACAGTACTATGTCGATACTATCAAGCTAATGGCACTTCGCCAGCTGGTTGCTGGATCTCCTTTGCGGACATTATGCTTGCTAATAGCAGGGCAACCAGCTGAGGTATTTTCCACAAATGCTACTGGACATGGTGGCCTTCAAGGTGGTTTTAGTACACCTCAACAACCTGTACAGGTGAGATATTGATGCATGAATTGTCATCCTACCATGTCAAGGGCTGAATGCCTGTGATATGTTGATTCTTTTTGTTAAAAAACACATTTATGGGATCAAGAACTTGAGAGAGAATTCTTTGTGTTGATGGAGAATTTTTTGAGATTGAAGCCAAAGAAAAAAGAATTGTATTTTGGATCATGTTGACTAGACTACTAACCTGCTATGCCATCTGTGTTGTTTCCACGTAATGGCCATACTGCTAGATCTCAAGCTATATAGAATAACTAAGCTTTCTCCCCAATCCTGTTTATTAGGATACTGAATGCTTATAGACTTTGATATATCTGTCGTTTCATTGCCTTCTTTTCAAATTTTAAATTTTTGTTCTGGTTATCTACCTTTGCATCAATAGTCTCCTTTTCTGTTCTTTCAAAAAATAAAATTTCTTACCAGTTTTTATTGGTGTATAATTTTGTTTCTCTATGTTTTGCTGTCAACTACAGCTTGGGACAAATGGAATGCTTGATGATTGGGAAGAGAATTTGGCTGTAATAACTGCAAACAGAACAAAAGATGATGAACTTGTGCTCATACATCTTGGAGATTGCCTATGGAAGGATAGAAGTGAGGTATCTTTTTTTTCTTTGGTCCTTTGTTTGGTGGCTTCATTTGAAAACCCTGTATCCTGAAACTTACATGAGAGTGGTTACTCAGATTACTGCTGCACACATCTGCTATTTAGTAGCAGAAGCAAACTTTGAGTCGCATTCAGACACTGCAAGGCTATGCCTAATTGGAGCAGATCACTGGAAGCATCCTCGAACATATGCTAGTCCAGAGGCTATTCAGGTGCTCAGTAATTTTGTTTGACTCTTGCACATTTTACTTATGATTTATTTGTGGTATGTTATCATGCGATGGTTGCTTCTAATACAAATGAACAATTTTGTTCTGGACCTCTAGGTTGGGTAGATAGGTTGTTTGGTTAATTATACAAATCAATTATCACAATACAATTTTATGAACAAAGTTGAGAATGGTGAAATTTTGAAGTGTTTCTTTTGATTTCAAACTCGACCTTTCTCTCTAATATAATTCTACACTCAGCGTGTCTTTCAATGGAATCTTATTTGATTTTTTTAATGGGGTGTATTGTCAGAGAACTGAGTTGTATGAATACTCAAAGGTGCTTGGTAACTCCCAGTTTATCCTGCTGCCATTTCAGCCATATAAGCTCATATATGCATACATGCTGGCTGAAGTGGGCAAAGTCTCTGATTCACTCAAGTAAGTGGATGGGAATTTTTATGTAGTTCTTTATGTAATTGTCTTTCATTTGCCTTGATCTGGTGAGTTTATTCAGGTATTGCCAGGCTGTTTTAAAGTCCCTAAAAACTGGTCGAGCTCCAGAAGTAGAAACATGGAAACAATTAGTACTGTCCCTTGAGGAAAGATGTAGAGCCCATCAGCAGGCAATGATTTAGCATGAACTCCTTACTTCTTTCTTATTCTTTCTTTCTTTTTTCCTTACGTATTCTGACTATAATGAGATACTCTATTTTCAGGGTGGATACACCACAAATTTGGCTCCTGCAAAGTTAGTTGGCAAGTTGCTCAACTTTTTTGATAGCACTGCACATCGTGTTGTTGGGGGCCTACCACCACCGGTACCATCAGCATCGCAAGGAAGTGTGCAAGATAGCCATCACCAACTGGTGGCTCCCAGAGTCTCAGGCAGTCAGTCAACAATGGCCATGTCATCACTAATGCCTTCTGCTTCAATGGAGCCCATAAGTGAATGGGCAGCTGATGGAAATAGAATGACAATGCATAACAGAAGCGTTTCAGAGCCAGACTTTGGTAGAAGTCCAAGACAGGTTTGTTATAATCTGCAAGTTGAAACACTATCGTTAACTGCTTGATGTTCATGTTAATTATATCGCATCTTCTTACTGCCTTGTGGGAGGATCAGGTTGATTCATCAACAGAAGGAACTTCATCCGGTGCACAAAGCAAGGCATCAGGCCCAGTGGTGTCATCTCGGTTTGGTCGTTTTGGTTTTGGTTCACAACTCTTGCAGAAGACTGTGGGGCTAGTCTTAAGACCTCGGTCAGACAAGCAGGTGGATTGATGTTATGTGATTTCTGTATACTTTTTCAGGGAGAAACTATCAATAATTTCTTGGAACTCGTGTTAATTATCACTTGTGTTGTGACTTAAGGCTAAATTAGGTGAAAAGAACAAATTTTATTATGATGAAAAGCTCAAGAGATGGGTGGAGGAAGGTGCTGAACCCCCAGCTGAAGAACCAGCCTTGGCTCCCCCTCCGACAACTCTGGGCTTCCAGAATGGAGGGTCTGACTACAACTTGAAATCCTCATTGAAGAGTGATGTATCTTCAGCAGATGGGAGCCCACCGTTTAAGAGTCCCACTCCAATGGACCGTGCCTCAGGGATTCCACCTATTCCAATCGGTTCAAATCAATTCTCAGCTCGCGGGCGCATGGGTGTGCGAGCAAGGTAACTTAGAAGCCTTTTGTTTTCTTCTCTGCAAAATGAATATCATGAAAGTAAGAATACTAGTCAAAAAAGAATTGATGATAAACAAATAAAGTGAAGGTTGGACATAAAAGTTGTTTTATTTTACTAGGAACCTATTGGTATATGGGGAAGAGGGAATAAGGGAAAAACACATGAAGGTTCTATTATTTAGTTTTGGAATGGCCAGAAATATGACTAATTCTGCAAATTGAACTCTCTCAAGGGGTTTAAATCATTACATCACCCATCACGATCAACCTTTTCTGTTTCATGTCATAATGGAGCAGTGCTTGGTACATGGAATTGGATTGGGCTGGACAGGACAGGACAGGATATGACATGACAACTTAACTTGTATTGGTGTTCGGTGTCCACATGGGTAGGTTTTGTACCGTCCCACAACCAAATTTCTGTCCGCACCTATGGAACAGTCTCGTCCAGTCCTATCTGCTGACCAAACACATCTGATAAGTCTCCATCTTTTGGAACTCCGGGCACCTGGTTTGGACATCAGTGATCAAGTTGCGAGTCCATGCTCAATCATTGGTAAATTTTGTTGATAATAAAACTTCGCAGAACTACTGGGCTTTTATCTTTTTGGAAATTCAACTGAATGAGAGGTTATATTTTCAACTTATATTGTAAAAACTTGGTTTGAAATTGCATCACTAGGTCAATTTTTAAAAGTTTGAGCCCAGCTTTCACATATGTAGGAACTTGAGTATATATCAAGTTCCTAAATCCTAATTTATCTTGTTATCCTGTTGAAATGTGTGGCTGATTTGCTGATGAGTTTAGAAGAAGACTTATTCATCTGGGTTAAAGACTTATGCTTGATTCTCTATTCCTAGTTATTTAATGAATACAAACTATTCTCAATATAATTTTCATGGGTGTTTGACAGGTATGTTGACACCTTTAACCAAGGGGGTGGAAGCCCAGCAAATCTGTTCCAGTCCCCGTCTGTTCCATCTGTCAAACCTGCTGTTGCTGCAAATGCAAAGTTTTTTGTTCCCACACCTGCACCACCACATGAATATTCTATGGAAGCTATAGCAGAAAACATACAAGAAGACAGTGCAACTACTGAAAACCCTTCAACATCTAATATGAACAAGAATGGCCCTTCACATCCTTCAACATCTTCAGCACTAACTATGCAAAGATTTTCAAGCATGGATAACATTACAAGGAAGGGGGCCATGATAAATGGCAATGGCCCTGTTTCATCTCACTCCCGACGAACAGCATCTTGGAGTGGGAGCTTCAGTGATTCATTTAGTCCTCCCAAGGCGGTAGAATCCAAATCGCAAGGGGAGATGTTGAGCATGTCCCCTTCATCATTTATGCCTAGCAACCATTCCATGACTCGTATGTCAAGTAGTGGCAGTTTTGGCGATGACCTTCATGAGGTGGAGCTTTGATTTGAGTACTGGAGATGTGCATACCAAGTTTTGTTCCTTGTGGTCGATGCAATACTCGGATGGGAACCATCCAGCACGTCTTGGAAGATGTTTGGTGGTGCTGCATCAGAATGGGGTCATGGAGAAGCAGAACATGTTTTCTATCAAACCTTACACAATCCATTCCCCTCTTAAATTTATGTTCAAATGCAGATGGCTAATGTATTACTATAATCTTAAGCCTAGATTTTGTTTGAATATCACAGGAGTTGCTACCATCTGAAGTTTGAGGAGCTGGTTTCTTAAACATAAATCAAAGAGAGCCTGCAATGGCACAATTGTACAGCTAGTTCATTTGTTCATTTGTTGGGCAGAGGAAATGTCCATTGAAGTAGATAGTAGAAAGTCCCCAGAGGTCATTTCAAGGGGAACATAGTGTACTCATTTTCTCTGAAAAAAGAAAAATAAAACGTTTTGATTGTTCAATTGCATTCCCATATATGCCTTTTGAAGCTTAATTATTGGTATAATGAAACATGGAGGGCTTCTTTTGGCTAATATGGTGTCTATTCTTTAAGTCGCTAGTGCGAATGAATACACGCCTGTTTGATCACTGATGTCGGTATCCTTGCGGTGACAATCATAGATTCCGATTCATTAGATCATGATTCTAATTCTAACATGGGATTCAAGGATGCCATTCTAATACTCATATTTTTTTTAGATTCTTTTTTCCTTGATATTTAGCATTACTTTTCACCCATCTATCATGTATCATGTAGTAGTAATACTAATAATAAAAATAAAAATAATTACATCATTTATAAACATTTAATTAGATCAAGTTGGAGGTTAAATTGGACTTATTCATGTTTGGATTAATATATACTTGATTTTGATCTAATTTGGATAGATGTGGATTGAAATGGGTTGGAGGTTGGATTGAGTTGACCAAACTTAGGGTTAAAATATACTAATTATATCTTTTGATGGTTGATGGTTTACTTTAATTATTTAGAGTTTTATTTAGATATTTTTTTTTCAAATAACAATAATTAAAAAAAAAGCTAAAAAGGATAGTGGTTTTGTAGACTGAATTAGATTAGTAAAATTACACTTTTGCCCTTGCCAACAAAACACAATTGGCTTGGATAGTGAGGGTATAGTTGTCTTTTGTTATATTTTGCACATTAACATGACTAATATACTCTTTGAAGCAAAAACCACTGCACTAGAAGGCAGGGACTTCTACGAGCTTTTCATTTTAAAAACATATTAAAATGACTGCATTGCCATTGAATTTAAATTGTCTTTAACTTAGGTCTATTGGTTTTTTTGATGTTTTCCTCATGTTTTTTCTTTTGTTATTATTGCATTTGATCAAGCATGGTAAAGTATTATTGGATGTTAAAAGATAGGCTACTTGTGCAAATCATGTGGATGTCCATGGGAAGACGAACGTTGTCCCGTGGCCAAACTCTAGTTTCTATAATTGTGTTTTAATTCTCATGGTATATTTTTTTATTTCTGGGCGGCATGTGTAGCTAAAAAATATTGGGTTTTAGATTAGCGAATTTTTTTTCTTTTTTTTTTATCTCCTCCTTTTTAATTTTAGTTTTTTTTTTCTATATATTTTCAAGGTAGCCCTTTATTTGTTTTTCTTTCAGATTTAATTTATTTTTTTAAATATTATTTGTTTTATTTTAAATAATCCATAAAATTGAAATTTTTTTTTTCTATTTAACTCTTATTTAATTTTTTTTCTTTTAAATTTGATTTATATTTTTTTTAAAACAATTATTTTTTTTAATCATTCTCTTAATTGAATTATCTTTCCAATTACATCCTTCAATAATTTATATCATTTTCTTCATTTTCTTCATTTGTTTTTTACCTTTTTGTTTTTTCAATTGCTCTTACTGTGAATATTGTTTCTATTGAATTTTGTTTGGAAGAGAAGGTCCCACATTTGTTCTTACACCCACGTTTAAATTCAGAATCTACTCCAAAACAAGCTGTGTATTTGGCAACTTGACACATGACAATTAGCTATGAATATCTTCGCTCGTCCAGGCACACTTGATGACTTCTGCTGTCCACTTCAGATTTGTCTTTCTATTTCACTTTAAACGACGGCAAGTTTTTGGCTCCTGGATATCATCGAAGGGTAACTCCCACTTCGTCACCAGCTAATGCAATCATAATCTTATTAACAATTAACAATAAAGCTAAAATAAAATGGTGTTTTACTGTTCACACACTCTCTCTCTCTCTGCAGATATTGTTGAACAAATGTTCTTACACCCATCTCAAATCACTTGGATTTGGCGAGAGCTTTGGATAGCACTTGTGAGTAAATATTTGAACCTTGGTAAATTATCTTTTCAGAGAGATTATCTTCATTCATGGTTTCTTATTTCTTTTCTCTTACAAATTTTTTTAGAGAGAAATTATTTTCTTTCATCTATTATATTTTTCTTTATATAATTTTTTTTTAATGATATATTATTAAAATTATTTCGTAATTTACTTGACGTGACTTGATGTTAGATTATTTTTTGTTCTGATCAATTTTGACTTTTTTTGTTCATTATTCTTGATTTAACAAAATCAAGTTGGATCTATAATTACAATTTTCACATCTAATCAAATAAAAATATGGATATTTTTTTCTTTTGATATATCATATTGCTATATTACTACAAACATCAACAAAAATGCCTTCATTCTAGCAATTTGGTAGTCAAATACAGAAGAAAACCTAGACCTTACTTATTAATTGAAGTTATTTAATTTTGTATTCTAAAAAATACGGTTAAATGTTTGATTATTTTAACATGAATTAAGATTACCTTTTGATTTAAGTAAAAATAAAAATAAAAAGTTATAACTTCTTCTCAGTGATTTGACTCAAAATCAACTTAATAAAATAAAATTAGAAAAAATCAGTTAAACAGAGGTGTTTTACATTATTGTTAAATATACTTTTAATTTGACTTAAAAATAAATTAGGAAAATTAATTTATTATATATGATTTGAAGTGGTATATCTTAATAGCAAGTAATTTTGGTGATTATTTTTTTGCTGGGAGGGAGATTTGATATTGACTTACGGAGGTGGATCTTTCACCAATGGGGAGCTTGGTGGTTTGACTCTTGAGTCCTTGATGTCAACTCATCTGTGAACATTTTTGCTGTCAATTTGAGAGTTTCAAATAATTTTATTTTCCGTTTTTTTTTTATCATTATTACGTGAAAATAATGGTCTGTGAACATTTTTGCTGTCAATTTGAGAGTTTCAAATAATTTTATTTTCCGTTTTTTTTATCATTATTATGTGAAAATAATGGTATATTTATGCCTCTTTTAATATTTTTTTATTATAAAAAATAATAAGTAATTTTTTACCGCAAATATTCAAGGAGATGCAAAATTAAATGAAAAAAAATGTGTGTGGTAGTGGTCATTGTTGTTTAAAATATTTTTTTGTTTAAAAATATATTAAAATATTATTTTTATATTTTTTAAAATTTATTTTTGACCCTAATATATTAAAATATTTTAAAAAATAAAATAAAAAATTAATTTTATTAAAAATACCTTTTCTCCTAAAAAAACAGACCGTCTCTTGATTATTAAACTTAGCAAAAGAAAAGATAAGAAGGCAAAAGAAATACCAGTAAAAAGTATCCCACGGCAAATGGACTCTTCTCTGCTGTCACCACTCACAAGAAGGGGAAAAGGAGAGTTAAAAGACTCTTCTCAGGTAAGAAACGTTGGATCTGGTGAGTGAATCGGTAGCTTCCACCGCCTTTCCCCTCCCTTACCTTCAAACAGGTGAAAAACGTCGCCCTATTTTCTCTTCTTCAACATAGAGAGAAGAGAAAGAAAATCCCTTTACCATCTCTTTCAATCAGTAGATTCCCTCTCTTCCAACTCGAAAGCACAATTCACTCAACAGACGAATAAAAGTTTAGTGTCTCGGCTAACATACACTGAGAGTTAGAGATTATTAGTTCAATCATGGCGGACCAACACGATGACTTAGAACAACTGCTTGACAGTAATCTCTCTGTAAAACCCATGTTTTGATTTTATATATAGAGAATGTTATAATAATATTTATATTTCAATCTCTTTTACAGGTGCTCTTGATGATTTCCAGAATCTCAATCTTGCTCCTGCTTCTCAAAGGTCTTTTGACAATTCTTTTTTTTTTCTTTTACGTCTTTGTTTTTGGTAATAGATAGTAGTGATTCTTGAGCTTTGGCTTGATTTATAGGAGTAGAAATGGTAATGGAGAGAACAGCAATCAGAAGGAGAAACAGGCTTGTCTTCCTTCATTGCCAACTGGGGTTCAAGGGTTGGGAATGGGATTGCCTGACTTAAAAAGCAAGAAAAAAGGCAAGCAAAAGGTTTCTAAAGAATCCCATGTTGAGGAGGCTCTTGATAAGCTTAGAGAACAGACCAGGGAGGCTGTTAAAGGATTGGAGTCTGTCACTGCTGCCTCTAAACCTGATGATTCTAGCCAAGATGCATTTATGGATGATTGGGTTAAGCAGTTTGAGGAGCTAGCTGGTTCTCAGGTATGTCATTTTGCTTTCTTATTCCTTTTCTCTTTGTTTCGTGAACTGGTTTGTTTGCTTTCAATTGTGTTTCCTCTGTGGTTTATGAGTTATTGTTGACATTTAGGGTAGTTAAAAAATGAGACAGGATTTTTAATGATTTGTATTCCATGAGCTTATTTTCCCATCAGGAGGATAACTTTTGGATCACTTTTGAGTTTTAGGTTGGAAATTTGTGGTTTTGAATATCAGGTGAGATTGTGTTTGGTAATTGGGTATTGATTTAGTGCATTCTGTCTTAAGTTCTGGGTCACGGGGTTTACAATCTGATCATCTGCTTAACAATTATTATATTGTAAGACTCATTCATGGTCAAGAGTTCTTAAGAAATTTAGATGCCAATGTTTTCCGGTATGCTTCTTTCTTTCTAAAATAGCTAGGTTGATTAGGTTGTGGTTTGATATATTTGAAGATGGCTGATCATCACTGAGATGCACTGCCTTGCTTGATTCTGTATTTGTTAAGTGTATGTTGATGGAAAACCATGTTCTACTGAAGGAGTTAGACTATGTTTCTGTCAGAAGCTTGGGTAATTTGCTTGCAGGGAGTTTGATGTAGCTATGCTTTGTCATTGCACATGTAGGTGACGCCCTTTTGGCTGAGCCTATAAATGTTATTGTTGACCTTAGTGAAAAGTGACAAACAAAGAGGATGTACAAGTTCTGTAGATTCAGAATTTGTCAAGGATCACTAGGCATTCATGTGACACGAAGTAATTACACTGACTTGCACCATTACCCTTTAGCGCTTTCTCCAGAAGCTTTCCAAATATGCATCATATGGCCTCCTTTTGGTGAAAGTGTCTGAACATGTACCTATTTCTTATATAGCTTGATTTTGTCATGAAAAACATCTAAATAGTCCTAGGAATGCATGCATAGATCTGATTTGCTACATGTAGTGTGTGATATTCAAGTTTGGACCATGTTATTTGTATTTTGCAAATATCTTATTGCAGTATTATTATGCTATGCTTATCAATATCTTCTCCTGGAATATTGACTTTTATTTTATACATACGAATAAACAATTGAATAAAACTCTCTTTTACCTGTGATGTGCTCAACACATGATTTTGAATTGATCATGAGCTCCTTCTGTGTTGCATATTGAATGTGGTGCAGTTGAGCACAGGGCTGGCTGAGCTTTGTGTAATAAAGGGCTAATTGCCTCAATCAATGATTTGAAATTGATTGTGTGATAAAAAGATAAGTTACTGAAGTGTCTAAAGGTAAAGTTGAGCTGTTATCACCATTAGACATGAGCCAAATATTATTCAAGTATGGAGCTTGATTATCAAATTCAGCTTTCATTCCTATCCCTGCCTTTATCATATTGCAGACCAAATTCTCGAGGGCATTTTCATTTCTTGTTGACTAGGGTCATCGCAGAACTGGAATTCAATGTCATGTTTGCTGCATGCTTACATCAAGTATTATGTGTCAGTAGCATGAGCATACGTTAATGGCCTGCATGAGTTGCTAAGACTACTTTGAGATGCCATTTGTTTGGAAACCATGATAGTTTTACTTTTGGAGTGATGGTGTCACTTTGACAGGTTTCTCTGAGGAGGAGATTAGGCAAGCACTATTGGTTTACATGGTCTAAAATGCAAGTGGAAATTAATTTGGCACTGCAAGCTTCAGTTGGCTCTTCTTCATAGTTCTCTTTTCTTTCTCTGGACATCCGCTGACCTTCAGTCTCCTTAATTCTTATTGTTCCTTGTCTCCCCCCCTTGACAAAAATTGTGGATTTAGACTAGAGAGCATTTGAAACTGCAATGCTTTTCTTGTATTTTATGCTAACTTGCTTCCTCTTCTGTAGATAGTGCTGCGTGTACTTATTTTTGGAGGTTTTCAAGTTTTATAATATCTTGTATTTTTATTTTTATTTTTGCTTTAATTTTCTTCTCCAGGACATGGAATCAATTGTGGAGACCATGATGCAACAACTTCTATCCAAGGAGATTCTTCATGAACCCATGAAGGAAATTGGAGAAAGATATCCAAAGTGGTTGGAGGAACACAAAGCCAGTCTGTCCAAAGAAGACCATGAGCGTTACTCTCATCAATATGAACTCATAAAAGATCTTAATGATGTTTATGAAAATGATCCTAGTAACCATACCAAGATATTTGATCTCATGCAGAAAATGCAAGAATGTGGCCAACCACCAAATGATATTGTCCAAGAGCTTGCTCCCGATATTGATTTTGCTAATCTTGGTCAACTGTAAGTTCTGTATCTAACTTTTGGCATTCATGGATGAATTTATCTCCACTTGAGCCATCTCTCGCTTTTTGTCTTTGAAACATCTCTGGAATGGATTGGGTTTGGGTGCCAAGGATTGGAGTTAGAACAGGATTTTAGGTTCAGTATTGTGTTTTTTTTATTTTTTTAAAGACATTAGAAGGAGAAGAAGCGAGAGCCCTTGATTTGCACTGGAATATTATTTGATTCGAATCTTGAAAAAAAAGAACAACCAGTCAGATGGCCAAAAGAGATGTCATCCCACTTTTATGGCCTGTCTGAAAGTTTTGTTGCTCTTGAGAATTCGACTACAATTGCTATTAGAAGTAAACTTAGTAAAGAATGACCATATTCTTTAGGAAAGGACATAATGGCCATTGGAAATTGTTGTCTTGATCTTTATATCAGATAGCTGACTGATGTTTCTCTGTTGCAGATCTCCAGAAATGCTCGAGTCCCAGGGGAATTGTTGCATAATGTGAAGTCATTTCTCTCGTCTTGTTTCCCATCCACTTGCAGTTTTCCTCTATCAGATAGGCATTCCTCATGATATATATCTGCAAAATAAAACTAGCTTGCTTAAATTGTATGTATTTTAACAATTAAAAGTGTTCAATTACTAGGGCTTTTGATTCATGTTAAAACTTGTAAGTTGTATCTGATTTGAGGGTTTCCTCGAACATAAATTTGTGGAGAAAAGCAATTTCAACAGTAAATTGCTTGGTCATTCTTTCAATTAACCTTGTGTATAAACAACAATATGTGATTGGTGAACCATTTGGAAATGATCTTGAGGTATCACTTGCCCTTTTCAAACTCCAGTTCTAAGACTACGCGTAGGAAAGGCACTGCCTTTGAAACATGTTTCATTTCATCCAGTCTTTATAAAACCCCATCTTACTAGAATGCTTCGTTGGGGTTTGGGGAGAGAAAAATGAGGACTGATTGACAAATAGTTTGGTCAATTTGGATGATTTGAATATGAATGCTGGAGTAAAACATCTGTTTTAGTCTGTCCTATGTCAATGCAAATGGATTGGAGCATCTAAGGTTTTGGATTCGGATTCTTTTCTGGCGTTTGAATAATAAAGGATGGCCACCACAGAAGATCTCTGTGTTGTTTCAAGTGAGCTATATAAGCGTTAAAATATACTTGTTATCTTCACCAGGGGGAGGGTTGGGGAGACGAGAGGTTTTAGCACCACTCTCTCTGCGCGCGTTTGAATTTGTCAGGGTCTTTGTTTTGGCAACCCAAATGAGTTTGACAGGGAAAATGCCTCCCTCCATACCCGCCTAACATTGGTTTAGATACAAACAAGAAATGTGACGAAGCATATACTGAATCCAGCCTTCGAACACAACTTCCAACATTTTACTTGACAAATCAAAGAATAAGAGTCGGAATTTTACACGTAAGCAAAGGAATAATCGTGCGAGGTTTTAACTAGAATTTGGATGTATGTATGTATGTTTTTTTATTTTATTACAAATGAATGGATTTTGTAAGGGCAAGAAATCAAAGAGAAGAATGTTTGCTGTTTACAAAAAGAATAGGTTAAGGGCAGCACGAAAGAGAATCGCTGTAGCAATGCCATGGCTAAGCATCAGAAGGGGCTATCCAATGCCTTCCGTTGACAAAACTCTTAGCAAGGAACTTGTGGGCGGATTCATAGTCTAACTCTCTTGCCCATGAAACACCCTGTACTGCTGCAGCTCCTGGCCCCCAGCATTTATACACTCCGAAGAAAACTGTCCTGTTATGAAACCCAAGAGATACGTTGATAAACAAATATAATTATTAGATTTCTAAGTTAACCCGTCACTGAATTTAAAGAAAAGGTTTAATTAAAGTTGTGAGATATACTTATTCTTGTTGCTGGCGTGGTCCCAATCATCCCAGCCACCGTGAGCCACAACGTTGTCAAAATATGTGTAGGAATAGACTATCCTTGAGTACTGGCCCATGGCTCGACCCACATACAGTGGTCCGGTGCCTGTTACCCTGCAGTTAAGGAAAGCAAAGCCTGTTTTCTCGTCGGGAGAGTTTCTATCTTGGGCTGCAATCGATCCAAATCTGGTGGCTATTGAGTGTAGCTCACAGTCCTGCACCAACCAACAGTTCTTCCTGACTGTAAGTTTTTTAGATAAAAAAGCATAATGTTGCATTTATCTTTCGTAGTTTTGGAGGAGGAAAGATTCAAACGTGAAATCCCCCTTTTACTTTATAGGAGAAATGTGACTATATTCTTTCATAATTAGGGCTTATATGTGGCTTCAAAGAAAATCCTTACCATCTTTGAATCCGACCAAATTCTTTATATAATTGATCATAGGCACTTTATAGAACCTAAAGAACAGTTACCCACAATCACGAACAATAATTCCGCTCACGATCTACCGTCTAAGAGAAAAGAATAGGTTCTCACATCAAATTTAACACTTGAATGTAAAAGTGGCTTGACTGTATTTAAAATAGCATCTTGAAGTGTTTTCTGAGGAAAAAAATTATAAAAACCTAAAACGTTGATAAGGGAGAACGTTGCTTGGTTTTAACCATGGATTAATGGATTTACAAGAGTCAAATTACGAATATAGTATTTTGAATAGTATAATGCAGTGCTTCAATAGAAAAAACAAAGAGTATTTTAATAAGTCATTTTATATTTTACATAGAATGAGAGCAAAAATTAGTCTTTTATTTTATGATTTAAAAAAAAACATACAAAAATTACTCTTTATTTTAACGAAATAGATTTAAACATTTCATGTAGTTATTTCTTTTAAAAACCCAATATCAATAAATAAAAAGTCATTTTATTTTTTATTTCCTTCTCCTCGTCGTCTAAGGGCGGGCGCTTTAGTCAATGCCAGCTCTGCCTGTCATGTTCTTTCCTTGAAAATCTAATCATACTGGTTGTTTAATTTTATTGAAAGCTTGAAATAAAGCAAAAAAGCTAATTATTGTCCAGTAATTAGAGAGCCAGAATGGAGGAATAACAAGTGCAAGTATCTTACTCTGTACATAGAGCGGCCATTCCCAAAAATAAAATCTATAGAGCCCTCAATGTAGCACTCCTTGAAGTAATGCCTCCCTGCATCGTCGCATAGAGTATCTTGGGCACCGTAGAATCCACAGCCTGCGAAGTAAGCCTTGTCTCCAGATATGCGAAATGCCGCAGCTTGCCATCCCTGCATTCCTGGCATTGGTGCTGGTGCTGTGTTCTATATACAAGGTGACCATGTATTCAATTATGCATAAGTTTGAGCTATCTGACACACAGTTGTATTTAAGTAAATGCATTATAATTTGTGTATAAGCTAGGTACTGAAAGAGGTGTTCGAACTAGAAATCAAAACCCCCAAAGAACATACAAAATGAAAATATGTGGAGGATACCAAACAGTCCTGAAATTAATTATTTACCATTGGATGTAGAAAGTGTATTGTTACCAGCTTGAGATTCACCATCTCATGGACTGTAACTTTGAATTCATTTAGTTGATAATAATTTCTTTTCCATTTAGAGTTGAGATTCTCAAGAAAGAGCAAAGGTTGCATGCAGCTTGGACCACATGCATATCTAGGCTGAGAAGAGATTTAAGAGACGGTTTAGGGGAGTCATTAATTAGCTTTTGTTGTGTATACCTTGAAGCTTATGTTTCTAGCTGAGAAATAATTAGCAAAAACAGAAACAGAAGCAGTCCTGTATGTACGCAGCTGTTGGCCATTGGCACCACGATCGCATGCTCTATCATGCCATTCGATGATTGTCACGTCTCTCCCTTCTCCTTGAAAAGTTATGTACGGTTTGCTCGCTGGCACTGTCACCTTTTCACTGCACCACCACGACAGAAATCTTGAGTAACAGTGATAATAAGGGGCGGTGCAAATAACTTCAAAAAAAAAAAAAAAGCCTGTCGCCAACAACCCTAAATATATAGGTCTTATTTTGTGACTAAAACCAGAATATATACATGTAATATCCGGCGCTAATTAGTATCATCACATTCTCCCCATTGTTCTCCGGGACAGCATCAACTGCAGCTTGGACCGATAAGAACTCGCCGGCCCCGTTAACATCCACGGTGATCTCTCGGTAACCCACTGGTCCAACCCACTTGTGATGGCGCTTGGTAGAGTTGGTAGGGGCAGTCCGATTGATTGAAGATGACTCGACCTTGTACCTGTAAGTAGAGCTTGTAACTAACAATGGTGCATGCAATAAAAACAAAGTAAGAATGAAGTAAGAATAGAAGAACAGGAAACTATAACCAAGAGAAGCCATTAAAGAATTATTAAATGGTCAGAGAATAAAATGATAGTAATGCAGAGAAGAGGGATATAGATATGATCAAGAATGTCTTGTTGAGTGAATTTCTTGGACTTGATAGAGATCCCTGAATTGAAGAGCTTCAGAGGAATGTTTATATACACGGTTAATTTAATTTCTAGGAATTTTATATTTTCTTGAACATCTTGCTAATACCGTTGCAACGGTCATTTTTCATGTTCCCTCGCTTTTAGGGGACAACATACCTATGGCTGTAAAGCAGTATATCTTTGGCTGTGTTCTACTTTTGTCAGATACCCTAGCAAGCTACTGGACCTGGGATACTACGACCCTCAGCTGGCTATTGTCTTCCTTATCTCCATTTTTTGTCATTCAGTTATTTGGGCAGCTCTGGCTCTTGAATTATTGGGACAAACGGAAAAACTTAATGGTATTGTAATCACGATGATGATTAGTTAGATGCATGCCAAATATTATGTGCTAGTTTTTTTATGTTTATCCTTCTGTTTTTCTTTTTCTTTTTTGTGAAATTTGGGTTGCACAGCCTCATTAAACGACTAACAATAGACCCGATAAAATCATGATATAAAATAAGAAAAAGACCCGGAGAAGGGTTTATTATTCTGTTAATTGTTTTTAGAGATTCATCAAGGTAATGCAAGTCACTGATAATGATTTCGATCCCTTACTCTTAAAAACATTCATGTGATCATGCATGATCACTAAGATTTATCTTTCTTCAAGGGCTTGTTTGAAAAGAAAAGGCATTACAATCAATGTAGAACTCATCCATGAGACTATACGAGGAATATTAACTTACAAAAAAAAAACAAATAATAAACATGATATGAGATATATATATTAATTGGATAAAAGATCCAAGAAAAAAAATATTGAAAGGGGAATTGTTTTAATAGTTTTAGCTAAATAAATGAGATTTTTTTAATTTAAAATATTTTTTTCCCGTTAAGATTGATATCAAAGTTAGGTACAATCTAATTATATACAAAACTTAACTATAAAAACTATATTTTTTTCAATTTATTTTTTTATATATCCCATACACAAAACTCAAATTTAACTATATAAACAAGCACACTCCTAGGGCTTAATTAACGGGTGAAAAAATAAAATGGATTGCGTGTATTCAATGTTATCTTGTGATTAGTAGTTGTAGAGGGCACCCACTCGTTAGCTGAAAGCCTGAAACGGTCACCTTGCCACAATTATGGTCGAGGCATGGCTTAATAGTATTTTGTATTGATGTATCCCTACCTCCTCACGTGTATATTCTTGCCCTGGTCCCCATCGAATATTGTAATGGAGCCCACTTGTTTTGAAAAGCCATTTTTTTCGAACGTTGGGACTCGCCATGGAGTCTCGCGCCTCCATCGATTGGGGCATCGGACAAAAACTATCCAAACTCATACACAGAGAACAGATTGCCTTTTGTGGGGCACAAAATAAAAAACCAATCAGCCAAAAGTCGCTGATG